ATAATTTAATTCCCAATTCAATATTATCCCCAACAATTCCACAAATGTAAATCCCTCAGGCTTTCAGGCTGATCATGTCACTATTCAGACAGCCTAGCTATACTGTCTAATTCCAATTCAATAACTTTGAAGATTGTTGAAATTCGAACTGAATTCAACGTAAATTCTCCACTTCATGAGTGAATTCAAGAATTTAATTGGAATTTCAAAAATATTTTGGGAATTGACCCTAACCCTGCTCTGCAGGAACACAGACAAACTTGTCAGAACTGCTTATAACCGGTCAGAACCCATATGCCTTGCCACCCCCTGATTATTGCATGTTGACATTAGTAGTTCATTATATAACTTTAGATTTATTATGAGACATTATGACAATATTATGACTTTTAAAAACAGTCGTCAATGGTTGGGTGATACCGGTAACCGTTTATTGACGTCACTAAGTAGACAACACAACTTTTCTTCATTATAATAACAGACAAGTAAATGTTGCCATAATGGACAATGTAGCTAGCCTACTCTGCAGGCTATGCAATCGAATGCCTGGCAGGCAGACCGATGTATGACACGTGTGCCCACGTAAGGTACCCCATTACCTGAGAAAAGGGGTGGTGGGAGCAAAGTTGCAAAAAAGTTGCTAGCAAGCTACTGCTAGCAATATCAATATAATAATAATATGCCATTTAGCAGACGCTTTTAACCAAAGCGACTTAAAGTCATGTGTGCATACATTTTTACGTATGGGTGGTCCCGGGGATCGAACACACTACCCTGGCGATACAAGCGCCATGCTCTACCAATTGAGCTACTGAGGACCAATATGAATTGTAAAATTAAATTGTCAGCATGCCATCATATTTACCGTACTTAATGTAATCCTAATAGTGAGCATATCCTTTCTTTATTCAACATAAAAACCCTGGTTGCTAGTCAACCAGAAGTAAAGCATGCCATGCTAGTTTAGCAACCTCAGTAGCTGGAGTTCTGCCACCAATAAGAATATTGTCATGCAACCCTAACATTACAGAACCAATAGTAAACCCCTTTTATATATACATATAATCATAATACACATGGTAAAACTACACGGCAATGAGTGTTACGATACATTTGATACAGTAGAATAAATTGCTACATGCCTGCTTTACAGATCCAACTGACACAAAGATGATCATCACAACTGTGACCAACGTCACTTCCACAATTAAGCTAGAATCAGATCGATAGAATGTCGCCCTCAGGTGGTGCAAACGAAGCTAACCCTACTTCATCAAGACGTCCTACACAAGCGGTGTTTCTTTGAACATAAAATAATAACAAGTTATTTATGCTAAGTTAACCAGTAGTGTTAAACGTACCCAATTGTCATACTTGAGTAAAAGTTATGATACCTTAATAGAAAATGACTCAAGTAAAAGTGAAAGTCACCCAGTAAAATACTATTTGCATAAATGTCTAAAAGTATTTGGTTTTAAATATACTTAAGTATCAAAAGTAAATGTAATTGAAAAAATATACTTAAGTCTCAAAAGTAAAATAATAAATAATTTCAAATTGCTTATATTAAGCAAACCAGATGGCACAATTTTCTTGTTTTTATTTATTTACAGATAGCCAGGGGCACACTACAACACGCAGACATAATTTACAAATGAAGCATTTGGGTTTAGCGAGTCCTCCAGATCAGAGGCAGTAGGGATGACCAGGGATGTTCTCTTGATAAGTGCGTGAATTGGATCATTTTCCTGTCCTGCTAATCATTCAAAATGTAACGAGTACTTTCGGGTGTCAGGGAAAATGTATGGAGTAAAAAGTACATTATTTTATTTAGGAATGTAGTGAAATTAAAGTTGTCAAAAATATAAATAGCAAAGTAAAGTACAGATACTCCAAAAAAACTACTTAAGTAGTACTTTGAAGTATTTTTAATTAAGTACTTTACACCACTGAAGTTAACACACTTAAAACAAGAAACAAACCAATTGTCTATCTTTTTCAATCAAGGTCTGTTCATACATGCTTTTTCCTATTTTAAAATCAACAAAAAAAGAAGATTCATGGAAAATTGTTTAAACATAAAAATGTAACCAAGCTGTGTGAACCACACAAGCAGATAAAGTAACCAAAGACCCATCAACAGTTCAAGCCATACAAAACAGAAATGCAGGCGAGGTAACTGAATAGACATACTGTAGCGAAAGCTGCATTAGATGTCCTATAAAGAAGCATTGTTTGACACATGGGGATATTGTTTGACACACAGAAACAATACCATGTTAATGTATTTTTTTAGGGTTGCTGGCTGTCTCCCTAAAAAAAATACATAAACATGGTATTGTTTCTATCTGGACAAATAGGTTACACTGTACGTTTACTATCCAAATGTCTGAGCTAACAATATGCATTGCATTATGTAAGTGATTAGGCTAAAAATGCCTGAGAGGCCATATTTTGGAACCTCATTTTTAAGACACTATATTTTAATGCTGATATAGCCATTGAATCCTCAAGGTTCTGTCTTGCAACACTAACTATGAAGGCCAGAAAACGTAATAAATGTAAATTGCCAAGAGCTGGTTAGGCCATAAAAACATGATACAGATGATTCATGATGGTTACATTGAGTAGCTTCAGTCAGAGAGACAACGTCTCCTGCTGTTACATCCAAGATAAAGCATATCCTGTGGTAAATTCTCTATTATACTGCCTTTGTGAACCAACCAGGGGTATCAATTTAAATGAGAAAACATTAAATACACAGAAAATAATTTACACTGAAAAAAGTATTATTCAAGAGAAATGGCTGCAAAGTAAAAATATTTTTCTGCACCAACTACAACCAATAATATATAAATGAGGGGAAATCTAATAAAATCCTTAAAGGTCCAATGCAGCTGTTTTTATCTCAATATTAATTAATTTCTGCGTAACAATGACATACCTTACTGTGATTGTTTTAAATCAAAATGGTCAAAATAAACAAAAATAGCTTCTTATAGCAAAGAGACATTTCTCAAGCAATAATGTTGCTAGGACTGTCTGGGAGTGGTCTGAGTGTGGAGGGGAAAACTGAAAACTAGGTTTGGAACACTCTTTCTTATTGGTCTATAACTAATATACCGCCTGGTGATGTCACCAGGCAGACCAAACCTCCATCCCACCAAAACAGGCTGAAATCTCAGGGAGTCTTTTCAAACAGCTCTTACACTAATAGGGCATTGTCATAATTTTCAATTTCACAGTATTATTCCAACCTCATAGTGCGGAAATATAAAATACAGGAAAATCAAGTTGACACACTGGGCCTTTAAAACAAAAATGGCCTCAAATAATAAATAATTTCCCCAATTCCCCAGTTTTTTAGTGAATAATTGCCTCAGACCTTTATCACAGCTAAGACAACCGTAAAGAGAGGACAGTACAGAATGTCCATAGAAGCAGTCTGTTAACTAATATTTAGGCTATATTGAGCTTAAAAGCTACCTATGAGCTATACTACCTTATATGTTCACTACCTACTTGGTCCATTGTACCTCAGACCATTAACATGCTCCTCTCAGCTATAAGACAAAGTCTCCCTGTAAATAACAACAGCCATCACCATATAATATTCATGTTATTCAAGCACAGTTCAGATATGGCACTAACAGACACATACAGTCTTCTCTCTCCTTCCCTGATGTCATAGTGTGGTGTGATTTGTCATCTGAACTATTTCTATGGGTCCATTCAATAGGTAAACATCAAAAGGACTAGAAATGGTCATCCTTCAACCCAACAGAGGCTTTTCATTTCTCTCGACTCTTTCTCCAACTTCACAGGTCCTGCTGCGTCAACAACATTCAAACAAGCATAATCACAAATCAAGTATTCTCATCAGTGAATAGATAGATTATCAATATATATGTATGGGGCTTACATTTATCGCCAGAGCCATGTATTTAGAATATTGTTCTAATTTTAGACATTCAGTTACATATCATTATTTAAATACTCCCCATGTAATGTCAATGGGGTGCTGCCACTGCTGCCATGGAATTGTAAAGTGTCATGTAAATGCATCATAATGCTCATTCTTGAAATGTTATACCATGGCATTGTTGAATACTCGTTTCTGATTGGCTTGAAGGGCATTCTAGAGTGTGCATTATTTCCCTATAAAGCACAGTATTTCAGCTTTGTAGAATTCAACATCTATAGTTCATGCTTACATGTTCTATGTTTGAGCTGCATTTGAAAGCAAAAGTCAAATTGAAAACATTGGTATTGTTGAATTCGATTTTCATAATAGCAAGTTAAGACTGATGGTTTGGTTAGCTAAACTAGCATGTCTGTTTGGTTACCAATGCAACTATTGTAGCTATCTAGTAAACTTGCTAGCTACTTAAGTGGATAAACACATTTCTATCTGGAAATGCACATTTCTAGCGGCAAATGTGTTAAATTATAGCCATGGTATAAAAGGGGTAATCAACTCGGGGCTCTATGCTTTCTCTGGAAAATAATGCAACTCCATGGAAGGTTAGTGCCTTCCAGTCGTTCATTATTTTCCATAGAATGCATAGCCCCTCATTGATTATTCCTTACATATTCCTCATGTAATGTTAATGGGGCACTAACATGGCTGCTATAGAATGATGTAGTGTCAGGCACTGGTCTAAGGCACTGCATCACAGTGCTGATGCCCCACTACAGCCTGGGGTTCGATCCTATGGGTTTCCCGGTCACGGCAGGCGTACAATTGGCCCAGCGCCATCTGGGTTAGGGGAGGGTTTGGCCGGGGAGCTTTCCTTGGCTCATCGCGCTCTAGCGAGTCATGTTTCGGAGGACGCATGTCTCGACTTTCGCCTCTCCCGAGCCCGTTGGGGAGTTGCAGTGATGAGACAAGGTCGTAACTACCAATTGGATATCACGAAATTGGGGAGAACATTTTAAATAAAAAAGTATGTTGTAGTGTCATGATAATGCAGGAAGTTTCACTAGCTAAGCTAATATCACGTTTCCTCCTCAGGAGGGTAGGTAGCCTCATGACCTTTCACCTCGTTCAGAGGGGAGGAGTTGGCACAGGGGTGGTGCTCAGGAGGGTAGGTAGCCTCATGACCTTTCACCTCGCTCAGAGGGGAGGAATTGGCACAGGGGCGGGGCCCAAGATGATGGGCAGTAGAGGGGTGCTGAGGGGGAGGTCCGGAGCTCTTAGGAGCTGGTCAAGGGCATGCATGGCTATGTGCTCGTGTGCTGACCGCCCCTCCTTCCTCTTCCAAAACAGTTCAGTAGTCCATCCCTTCATCACTCTCGTACCAGTCCGAGGGAGCATCCGTCCCAAAGTAACGATCCCCGAAATTACCTGGAGAAAGAGAGGAGAGCAGTCAGTCATGTTGTCATTGTGAATAAATGAGTTGGACTAGTGACAGTGAGGGATGTGTGATCAGTGGCCCTGCTGATGGAACACATAGGTCAGAGTCTGGGTTGATTCATAACAGAGCCCATCTACTTGGGCCTGAATGGCTGTGGCACCAGCTACGTCTGACAATCTGGATGTTTTCAATTTGTGATTAGGTCATCACACAATGTCATATCACTAATGATCATCAGTCAAACCACAAACAGCGTACTCACTGGATTAGCATGAGGCCACAGTTATGAAGGGAATGTGGATTAAATGAGAACAAAGAGAAAGAGAGAGACACCCACCAATGCCGGGGATTATGTGGAACTCGTCGTTGACATTCTTGTCGACAGCGGTGGTGATGATGCGGACCTTTGGGAAGGCGTAGGCCACAGAGTGGACGCCCATCTCTGCCATCAGTAGAGACAGCAGGAAGATCTTATCCTCCTGGACATCATGGTCCTACAGGGTGTCAGACATACAAATAGGTGACTTTTAAACACAATTGAAGGAAGAGTGGTGGTTAGAGGGAAGCTTTGTGACTGTAACACACTATTGAAGGAGAGAGTGGCAAGCATCTCAGAGTGGCAAGCATAGCCAGACTTGTGGAGATCTCAAGCTCTTCCCAGTTCCCACTGCTACCTGTCAAAAGGCGCTCCTTAATGCGTTAGTCTGATATGTCTTCTGCACGTTATTGTCAAATATAACATACTACAACCAATGCTTCTAGTGAAAAACACACATGACCATGAATATCTTTTGCAGAGATAGTCATGGGAGAAAAGTATTGGATTGACCTGGAGGCAGTGAAGTTTGCTCTCTGAGGGCAAACAGAACCACAGACTTTGGCCACCATAGTGGACAGCAATAATTGACCCCAGATGTTTACATTTCACAATGGGCGAAGGCTAAAGCAGAGCTGTACCTTTAGCTCTGCAGCCTTATCACAATGAGGAGACAGAGCCTCAAACTTACTGAACTAAAACAGTGTTTCATGACAGCAAACACGCATCCCAATCTCTCCTTAATCTCCTGCTGCTGTAGCCGTCCAGTCTCCACTTGCAGAGCTGCTCTCCTGTTATCTCAACACCAACATGGACAACGCCTACTCTGCTATCTGCCATGTCTCAGGGGTAACCAATTTGATCTGGATGCTAAACCAATGGATAAACCCCAAACCCTAATGTCTCCTCAATATAGGTGTGTGGCAGGGTAGAGAATACTAAAAAGAGAATATTAGACCAGAGGAGTAGAATGAGGTAGAATAAAGTAGAACTGACCAGCAGCACTCGGACTGCCATTAGAGCAGCAGCCCCAGTGGACACAGTGCTGTCCATCAGGATGACGTAGTCCTCACTGATGTCCTTAGGCAGACGCAGGTAGTGGAGCTGGACAGGGAACATAGGGCAGCAGTGGTCAAATAACAACATTTTATACAAGGTTTTCATTTGTGGATTTTGTTAACTTAAATGTCACGGTTTGAGCATCTGCTGTGAATGAAACCAGTACAGCTGAAGAAGAAACGGCCAAAGCGTGATGACTACATCTGACATCATACAGTATATCTCAAAGATATGGATGGTCTGTGACCCTGATGAGGAAGTGAACCTGAGGTCAATGAGGCTAATGTCTATCAGTTAGCCATGAGACTGACACCTAGCCTTGAATGAAGCCACTGAGAGAAAACAGATGACCGATACAACCATACACTCCTGCTTTATGGTCTCCGAGTTGAAAAGTTCATTTCTGGGTGTGTGTGAAGCCTTGCAACACAGAGAAAGCTCCACACAAACACACAGAAGCCTTGGTGAACAACATGACTAATTTATTTTTGTGTGTTACCTCCGGCTCTCCAGTGTCATAGTTGGTCTGGATGAGGATCTTCCCCAGCCGAATGTCTTTACACACAGCCATCAGAGCCTGCTCCATGGTCTCCCCTGCTCTCAGTATGGACACGCCTGTGATCTACACACACAATTAAATTGCATTCCAGGCTTTACACTCCCTTACAGTTTAGTTTGTAAGTAAACTTCCATTGAGCAGCCTGAAGGATCAGCATAGTGAGCGCTCAATGTTACAAAGCCTGATGTTAGGAGACAGACATCTGCAGTAGAGTAATACAGTCATAATAACCCTGCTGTCGAACAGAGCTGCTCCCACTGAGAGCCACTCAAACACATCCCCATAACGTGAGTGGAATTAATGATTTTCTCATGCCCATCCACACTGCGTCTAGTAAAACACATGTTAACAATGCAGATTCAATGCTGATGAAGAAAAGGACTGGAGAGAGATACAGCTAGTTTAACCACTGTAAAATCTCTGGCCAAGTATGACAGGTAGCACTCAGTGTGATTCTGACAATGTTGCTGCAATGTAGTATCAGGGAGTACATTGATACTTTATTGCAGTTTAGGGCCCAAAACCCTGTGTGAAAGTGGGGAGGTATCTGCATAGAGACTTACCCTTTTACCACTGAGTCTCTTCCCTTCATAGATGGAACCTTGGGGAGTCTCCACTTGCACAGGCTAGAGAGGATGAACAGAAAGAGGAGAGTAGAGACCAATATTAGTGTATGGTTGTGCACAGGGGGCGATATAGAATTGGCCATGTGTTGGCAGGGTCACTCACCTTGAGGGGCAGGAAGGAGAGGGCATGTTCTATGAGGAGCCTCATTAATCTCTTGGAGTAGAAGATGAACTCATCACGATTAGTGTCCTTATTCCTGCACGCATGCACACAAAACACACTCGGTTAGGGGACAAGGGCTGGGAGTGAGGGTGTGTGTATGTACACTCAGTGGCCAGTTAATTAGGTACACCCATCTAGTATGGGGTCCGACCCAACTTTTCTTCCAGAACAGCCGGAATTCTTCGGGAAATTGATTCTACAAAGTGTAGAATCTCAATTGGTATCAAGGGACCTAACGTGTGCCAGGAAAACAGTCCCCACACCATTAGACCACCAGCCTGTACTGTTGACACCAGGCAGGATGGGGTCATGGACTCATGCTGCTAACGTCAAATCCTGACTCTGCCATCAGCATGACGCAACAGGAACTGGGATTTGTCGGACCAGGCAATGTTTTTCCACTCCTCAATAGTCCAGTGTTGGTGATCACATGCCCACTGGAGCCGCTTCTTCTTGTTTTTAGCTGATAGGTGTGTTTGTCTGCTGCAATAGCCCATCTGTGACAAGGACTGACAAGTTGTACAGTTGTACTGCGCCGTTATTTGCCTGTTTGTGGCCTGCCTTTTAGCTTGCACGATTCTTGCCATTCTCCTTCGACCTCTCTCATCAACGAGCTGTTATTGCCCACAGGACTGCCGCTGACTGGATGTTTTTTGTTTGCTGCACCATTCTCTGTAAATCATAGACACTATCGCGCATGAATATGACTGTAAGTCGCTTTGGATAAAAGCGTCTGCTAAGTGGCATATTATTATTATTATTATTATTATTATATATTATTATGAAAAGCCCAGGAGGCCAGCCGTTCCTGAGATACTGGAACCGGCGCGCCTGGCACTGACGATCATACCACGCTCAGTCGCTTAGGTCACTTGTTTTGCCCATTCTAACATTCAATTGAACAGTAACTGAATGCCTCAATGCCTATCTGCCTGCTTTATATAGCAAGCCACAGCCATGTGACTCACTGTCTGTAGGAGCGAACCATTTTCGTGTACCTAATAAACTGGCCACTGAGTGTATATTCATATTATAAACTCATTGCAGTGCAGAGTCAGTGTTGACAGGGTGAGAAACCGGGCCCCTGCGCTCTTCCAAAGCTCTATGGTCTTACCTGATGATGGTGTGCATGCCGTGGACCTGTGGGGTGCACTCCATGACACTGAGTGTTTTGGGTAGGGGTTGTCCCTGGTGGGCCGAGGCCAGAGCAGACCTACACAACACAGAGACAGTCAGACCACTGCCCCCTGTTGGGGAGTTCACAGTACTACAACAACACAGACAGACCACTGCTGGGGAGTTCACAGTACTACAACAACACAGACAGACCACTGCTGGGGAGTTCACAGTACTACAACAGACAGACCACTGCCCCTGCTGGGGAGTTCACAGTACTACAACAACAAACAGACAGCAGTCAAGCCAGGGAGACAAAAGTAAGATACCACTGGGATATTTTATTTTCCTCCTCGTAAACATGTATGGTGGTCACGGCTGCACAGCCAGGCAAAGTGGGGTGGGGTGGGGGGGGATTAGTACGCAGGTCCTGGCAACAGCAATGCTTGAACAGGCTTCTCTGGAACGGTCTGGAGCATATGGTGCTTTACTGGCAGACAACGGAACATAACACTAGGACCATTTAGAATCTAGAAAATAACTATTACATTGTACAGCACTAAACAGTGGTTATATTTATAAATAGAAATGCCATAAAGCAATTGAGCACTTTGTTATATGTTCTGCAATGTTGTTGCCAATACAAGAAGTCAAGACAACTCACTCTAATTAGTTTAGTACTGTAATTAGCAGTTTTCTATTTATGTATCTGGCACCAAAATACAGGCCAGTTAAGACTGTACAAAAGCATAAAGAAAACAAAGAATTAAGCAATTGGTTAAGATGTAAATGAAAAAAACGATATCTTGGGAAAATAGCAATGACAGCAAACAAAGATTGTTAGCTTTTGTTCTGGATGAAATGTTAACAATAGATAATTAAAGAGATGGAAATGAGAGGGGGATATCAAACTAAAGAAAAGGAGGAAGATGCAGCAGTTTATCCTCACATATCCCATCGGAGTTTCCTCTGGAGAAGGTGACAAATATTCATTTTGCAAGAACAAGAGAGATGACAAAGAGAGGAAAGAAAGAAAATACAACAATTAAAAACGGCAGCAGGACAGAGTAGAGGCCCTGTGATCTCTGTGGAGAAGCTGATAGGGCAGGGAGGTGGTGTGAGGGCCGGGGGCTGGGGGGAATTAGGGCCCCTGTTCAGCTCAGCAAGGGGATGGCTTCAGGACCAGACAACATTTCCATGGTTACGAGTCTGACTGGGAGGAGTTTTTAAAAATATTTTCAATGGCCTTAGTGTGAGGAAATCTGATAAACATGCAGGAATAACTCAAGGTTATACTCAGTCCTTGGTTAATGTGATGTTAGCTTCTGATCTTTCGATAACAAGGAATTCATCTACTTGCAGCTACTGCAAAGTGATCAATCCAACAGCCAGGTCTCTCAGGTGTCTTTTAGATGGTCTTATCCAGAGCTCATTGGAACCATAGAGATGTCATCCTCATGGAGTTTGCGATAGTTTTCATGACTGACAGTGTGGAAGAAAGACAAAAGGAGGCGGACAGCCTTTCATTTTGTTTACACAAACATTTCCCATGGCACATTAAATGTGTTGATAATGTCAACAATAGGGAGAAAATATATTTTTTTAAGATAAGTTATTTGGTCTAAGTCAGTACTCCTTCAGACTGGGCACATCTCCTTTTGTCTTTGCTGTGCTCTCTGAGCTTCTGCTGAGAGGAAACAGAATAAAAGACAGGTACCACAAGAAAAAGAGAGCGAGAGAGAGGGGGAGGTAGAGAGATGGGAGGGGTGTGGTAGTCATACCTCACTGTGATTTCACGCTGAGATGGTTAGAGTGCATTCGGCCAGGGTTTAGCAAGTATTTCATTACACACACACACAGGGGGGAGAGAAATCAAATCAAAACATAACTCATGAAATGAGACAAGCCATTCCAACCTTCCAAACAAAGCCAAATGTCCCCAGTCCCCACCACCCTTTTAAATCAACACAAACACCCATCCCGTTGATGACATGCAATGATATTACATTCCCCCCCATTTTGCCATGAATCACACAGACCGACAGTGTTTCATCCGATCAGCTCTGGGTGCCTTTACTGGTTTCCCATTTCCAGGTAACGCAGCTTGTATTTCCATCATTTCAAATGAACCGGTACCTCTTTCTCTCTAAATGAAGATTATACTCATGCATCAGATCAGGTTATGTTCCTGGTGCTCTGATCTCACAGCAAGGCCCAGTGCACAGCCGGGTGAATTTAATTAGACATTTACATTTTCTGGGCAATAAAAAAAATTGCAATATGGTTTTCAGCTCCTTTTCCATGCGGAAACCCCATATAGGGGCATCATATTTGCTTTACTTGTTTTATCTATTAGTCTGATAAATAAAATGGTTCCTACATAATATCTAGTACATGTCAAACAGAATGCTGCTGAGTGTGGCCTCCTTAACCAAACCAGGGGGTTTCCTAAACAGAAGTACTATAGTGGGCTCAGCAGTCTTAATAAACTCAGCAAAAAAAGAAACGTCCTCTCACTGTCAACTGCGTTTATTTTCAGCAAACTTAACATGTGTAAATATTTGTATGAACATAAGATTCAACAACTGAGACATAAACTGGTCAAGTTCCACAGACATTAAATGGAATCATGTGTCCCTGAACAAAGGGGAGGTCAAAATCAAAAGTAACAGTCAGTATCTGGTGTGGCCACCAGCTGCATTAAGTACTGCAGTGCATCTCCTCCTCATGGACTGCACCAGATTTGCCAGTTCTTGCTGTGAGACATTACCCCACTCTTCCACCAAGGCACCTGCAAGTTCCCAGACATTTCTGGGGGGAATGGCCTAACAGGTCCCAGACGTGCTCAATGGAATTGAGATACGGGCATTTCGCTGGCCATGGCAGAACACTGACATTCCTGTCTTGCAGGAAATCACGCACAGAACGAGCAGTATGGCTGGTGGCATTGTCATGCTGGAGGGTCATGTCAGGATGAGCCTGCAGGAAGGGTACCACATGAGGGAGGAGGATGTCTTCCCTGTAACGCACAGCGTTGAGATAGCCTGCAATGACAACAAGCTCAGTCCGATAATGCTCTGACACACCACCCCAGACCATGACGGGCCCTCAACCTCCAAATTGATCCCGCTCCAGAGTACAGGCCTCGGTGTAACGCTCATTCCTTCGACGATAAACGCGAATCCGACCATCACCCCTGGTGAGACAAAACCGCGACTCGTCAGTGAAGAGCACTTTTTGCCAATTCTGTCTGGTCCAGCGATGGTGGGTTTGTGCCCATAGGCAACGTTGTTGCCGGTGATGTCTGGTGAGGACCTGCCTTACAACAGGCCTACAAGCCCTCAGTCCAGCCTCTCTCAGCCTATTGCAGACAGTCTGAGCACTGATGGAGGGATTGTGCGTTCCTGGTGTAACTCGGGCAGTTGTTGTTGCCATCCTGTACCTGTCCCGCAGGTGTGATGTTCGGATGTACCGATCCTGTGCAGGTGTTGCGAGGACGATCAGCTGTCCGTCTCCCTGTAGCGCTGTCTTAGGCATCTCACAGTACGGACATTGCAATTTATTGCCCTGGCCACATCTGCAGTCCTCATGCCTCCTTGCAGCATGCCTAAGGCACGTTCACGCAGATGAGCAGGGACCATGGGCATCTTTCTTTTGGTGTTTTTCAGAGTCAGTAGAAAGGCCTCTTTAGTGTCCTAAATTTTCATAACTGTGACCTTAATTTCCTACCGTCTGTAAGCTGTTAGTGTCTTAACGACCGTTCCACAGGTGCATGTTCATTAATTGTTTATGGTTCATTGAACAAGCATGGAAAACAGTGTTTAAACCCTTTACAATGAAGATCTGTGAAGTTATTTGGATTTTTACGAATTATCTTTGAAAGACGGTCCTGAAAAAGGGACGTTTATTTTTTTTGCTGAGTTTATATGATGCCTCTTAGTGGAGGGTGTTATGGTTCATTAGCCTACAACAGGCCCTGTCCTCATCATCATCAGTCACTCACAGTGATGTATGGAGGACGAGCGGCCGCCGTCTCTCTCCACTGGACACCATTCATTACTTGGTCCACACCAGACACAATGGCATTTTACTACAGAGATCCCTTAATCCACAAATCCTCACAAACGCAGGCACACACACTTTTTGCTTTCTCTTGCACCTGCGGTCTCTTGATCTCTCGCTCTTTACCCACACGCCGACGGGTGTACTTGAGTGGCGTACACCAGTGGTTCCCAACCAGGGGTACTAGGACCCCTGGGGGTACTTGACCTATCCACAGGGGCAACTTGAGAAGACTCATGAGACCATAGGCCTACTGGTAAAATGCACATGAGGGGGTACTTCAGGGGTACACCGGGCAGAGCCAAATTCAGTTGGTGGTACAGTAACCGAAAAAAGGTTGGGAACCACTGGCGTACACAACAGATAGAAGTCATGTGATCATGAGTAATACAGTATAGTGTGTTAAATATAATGTGACTGATCACCTTTATGAGAGCTTGTCTTTGAAACTTTCCATCTTGTCTCTCTCTGTGACAGATGGTTTGTCATATAACAGTGATGATGGATCAGGACTCAGAGCCACATACACTGAGTGTAAAAAACATTAGGAACACCTTCCTAATATTGAGTTGTAGGGACCATAAAGGGGCCATCTGACAGCAGAGAGCAAAGTGTTAAAGGTGGGATTCAGAACGTATTGGTCATGGCGCTGACAGATAAATGGGATGCCCTTGACGCACACAAACGCACATGCATGTAAAGTATGAGGAATAGCCTCTCAGTTTTAAATCCACTCTTGTTAGGAGGCCCTTGGTGAAGAGACAGAGGGTTGAGTTTAGCTCAGCCGGATACCAGACAGGCAATCTACATGACATGTGATGCTGAATCCTGACCACTAGAGGGCAGAAGTGGAGTGGGCAACTGGTTGGGTCAACTTCTACTTGGAGACTAGCCTCTGAGAATTCAGAATTACTTTCGGATACCAGATGGAAACAGTGCATATACAAGACAGCTTTGAGTTTTAGTCTGCTGGTTTCAATAGGACATGTAGTCTTGAGTACTCCTAGAGAATGAGACTCATCATCTATCATTTAATTCATCCAGAAATGACCCACCCATGTTGAGGGATAAGACCGGGTTCAGAGGTCATGGGTAGGGCCAAGAGTTTTTCCTGGTAGGGAAGGGGGTCAGGAAAAACTCCTGGTCCTAGTCATGAGCCATGGGATAGGGGTCATGTCAGGCTGGCACACACAAACTCTGAGCATGGTGTGAGCCGGAGAGATGACACCATGTACAGAGATAGGGAGGGACTCCTCCATGCTTTTCCGTTAGGGTCTATGGGCAGAGGTATTGGAGATAAAGCCCTATTCACACATACCTTTTCAAGTTGACTGTGAACATGCTGAACAATCAGATCCAAGGCAACAAAGTTCTCACCCCCTGAAATAACCAACACACACACACACATTGTTCTTTTATAGTAGAATCGCTATAGTTATCAGAAGTATTTGTACAATATTTGAAGCAGTGTTTTTAACACTGTGGTAGTAGCTATCTACAAACCACTCACCCCTAGGGACCACAATATCAGCCACATGCACAGTGGGCTCGATGTACTGCTCAAAGCTAGGCTTGACAAACTTGTTGTACTGCTTGATGACTCCGCTGATGTCACGGCCGCGCTCCGATATGTCCCTCTTCAGACGCCTGACCAGACGGATGTCTGAGTCTGTGTCCACAAACACTTTCATGTCCAGCAGCTGGGGGAGAGCGAGACGGAGAGAAATAGACAGAGGGATAAGAGGTCATGTACATAATCAATTCATAGGGCAGTGTTTACCCAATATATAATTTCAAGGCAGGATGCTGGGTAAAAGCCAAATTCCTTCTGGGGTTGGGGGTGGGGCACCCCACTTATATGATGGTTGGGAAATCAATGTCCCAGGGTCGAAAGAAGTTAAATGGGATCTACTGTAAAGATGGCCTATTGGGTCTTTAATGCTCTTTTCCTGAACACACATAAATTGAAACACAGCCATCATCAGCCAGTCAGGGGTAACTAAAGACAGTGCTCAAAGCTCTAACCTCAGCAAAACAAAAGTTAGGAGGATTAATGGTCCAGCAGAAACACTGTATGTGATGGAGACGCAAAAAGAGGCAACAACCCAAAAACAAGAGCTATTGATGACTCTTTGGCCATTCAGTGTTGGAGCATAACTCAGACAGCCAATGAGACTGTCAGACATAAATGAGCAGTAAATCTGCTTCCTGACCAACCGGGCGAGCCCAAAGCGCCGCGCCAGCAGAGCTGTCAGCCTATTGGAGGAGGCTCAGCCTCACTCTCTCAGGGTCCTCTGTCATTGGGGGAAATGAGCAGAGCAGTTTAGGAACATTTTACAGCACTGCAGTTTAAAGACGGCTGCTCATTGTCGGGCCAGAACGCACCGGACGCTTGGAGCAGCCAGCAGGGTAAGGCCTGTTGGAGTCATGGCAAAGGGTTGAGAAATAACCAATTTATAGAAAAGTAAATAAACCGGTTGATGAGAATATTTAGTACTAAGTGAGCCACAATTAGTGATTTCAAGTCGTAAATCATCTTAAAAAAACAACAACACAACACTTCTATAGAAATAATTAAAATGAAAGTACATCCAGTTATCTGCATTGTTTGGCTTATCATCCCTGCCCAGCTTAGCCCAACCTGTACAATGGCTGAAGTGATAAATCACCAGGAACAGAAGTGCTTTGCCAATGCAAACACATTCACAGTTTAAATTTGTATGGATTTCTGTACACACAGCACTGGCGGATCGAAGCTAACAAAGGGACCAATCAACAGCACCATCAATAAAACACAGTCTAGTCCATTCACTTACACACTGGCCAAACACACCCCCTTCAAGTTATAATGGCGGGAAGGAGAGTCCTAGACAGGCTACAAGTCTAGACTACTTCATGGATTTAGATGAGCCAACATGGTGTTTGTGAGAAGTTGTTGATATATGTTGCAATAAAGAGGACCAAGATAATCATAGCTGACAAGGGCTGCCTGAAGAACTGCCATCAATTCTACTACAACAGCACTAGTATTAGTTTACACGTTGCTTTGTTTAAATTCTTAAGGGATTAAGATTTTTCATGCATTTCTTCCTTGAAGAGAAGTGGGCTTCATGTTAGCAAGTATAACTTTAGCCACGACTGCTGCAGCAATGGATCCCCAACAACACCATTTCTATCAGTCAGTCCCCAACCCAGTCACCCAGGGCCAGCCCGAGCCTGCAACGCAAGCATAGCAGGCCCAGGCAGAGAGCTGCGAGCAGGAGAAAGGTAGAACAGTGAATACAGAGAGAGAATCCCTCTAATTTCCCTGTATCTGCTTGAGGATGGCAGCGGCACTCCATTAATCGACGATGACGGTGCTGCAGTGGATAGCAGCCGTCTTACGGGGCTCCTGACCAAATCTGCTATGTTGTGTTTTTTAACACTGTTCTTACCTTTTTTTTAAAATACATAATGTCTCCGTCATCATTTCCTATGACCGGAAACAGCTTCTGGACATCAGAAAAGCGATCACTAACCTCAATTTGGGTGGAAATTACTACTTTAAAGAGTTGGCAGCTCTGGAAGTTCTGCCTACTCCGAACCAGGCCCTAGAGAAGCAGGCGAGCCGGCAACCTGACGAGACTACGTCGGCGAGCAAATAGACAGCCATTGCCCTCTGTTCTATTGGCGAACGCGTAATCACTGGAGAACAAACTGGATGAACTCCGTTCGAGACTATCCTATCAACGGGACCTGAAAAACTGTGATTTCCTATGTTTCTCAGAGTCGTGGCTGAACGAGGACATGGCTGTACGTCTCGATGGTTTTTCGATGCATCGCCAAGACCGGACAGCAGTGTCAGGCAAGACAAAGGGAGGAAGGGTGTGTGTCTTTGTTAAGAACAGCTGGTGCGTGATTTCTAATGTTAAGGAAGTCTCAAGTTTTTGCTCACCTGAGTTAGAATACCTCATGATAAGCTGCAGACCATACTATTTACCAAGATAGTTTTCATCTATATTTTTAGTAGCTGTCTATCAGATGGCACTAAGACCCCACTCAGCGATCGAGAAAATGCACATTAAGAGGCGGCGTTGCTCGTGGCTGGTGACTTTAATGCAGTGAAACTGACATTTTAACTCATTTTTACCAGCATGTTACCTGTGCAACTAGAGGCGACAAAACTCTAAATCACCTTTACTCTCCCTTTGGCAAATCAGACCATAACTCTATCCTTCCACTTCCTGCTTCCAAGCAAAAATTCAAACCAGTGACACACTCAATACGGAAGTGGTCTGATGAAGCGGATGCTAAACTACAGGACTGTTTCGCTAGCACAGATTGGAATATGTTCCGGGATTCATCCGATAACACTGAGGAGTTTCCCACATCAGTCACCGGCTTCATTAATAAGTGCATTGACGTCGTCTCCACAGTGACCCTACGTACAGTGCTTTCAGAAAGTATTCATACCCTTTGACTTATTCCACATTTTGTTGTTACAGCCTGAATTCAAAATGGATTAAATATACTTCCCCCCCCCACCCATCTACACAAAATACCCCATAATAACAGTGCCAACATGTATTTTAGATTTTTTTGCAAATGTACTTACAATTTATGATCTAATTTACATATGTATTCACACCCGAGTCAATATATGGTAGAGTCACTTTTGGCAGCGATTACAGCTGTGAGTATTTCTGAGCTTTGTACACCTGAATTGTACATTATTTGGACATTCTTTTTAAAATTCTTCAAGCTCTGTCAAGTTGGTTGTTGAGCAATGCTACACAGCCATTTTCAAGTCGTGCCATAGATTTTCAAACAGATTTAAGTCAAAACTGTAACTAGGCCACCAGGGAACATTCAATGTCGTCTTGGTAAGCAACTCCAGCGAGTATTTGGCCTTGTGTTTTAAGTGGAAAGCAGACAACCAGGTTTTCCTCTAGGATTTTGCCTGTGCTTAGCTCTATTACATTTCATTCTAAAAAAAGATGACAAGCATTCCCATAACATGATACAGCCACCACCATGCTTGAAAATATTAAGAGTGGTACTCAGTGATGTATTTTGTAGGATTTGCCCCAAACATAACGCTTTGAATTCAGGACAAAGTTGATTTCTCCTCCAAATTTTAGAATATTTCTTATTCTGTACAGGCTTCCTTCTTTTCACTCTGTCAATTAGGTTAGTATTGTGGAGTAACTACAATGTCGTTGATCCATCCTCAGTAGGACGGCCATATCTTTGTAGTGACTGGGTGTATTGTTACACCATCCAACGCCTAATTAATAACTTTACCATGCTCAAAGGGATATTCAATGTCTGCTTTTTAAAAATGTATTTTTATCTACCAATAGGTGCCCTTCTTTGCATTGGAGAACCTCTCTGGTCTTTGTGGTTGAATATTACAGATCATTGTATGTGTTGGGTACAGAGATGAGGTAGTCATTCAAAAACCATCTTAAACACTATTATTGCAATTTATTATGTGACTTGTTAAGCTAATTTATTCTCCTGGATTTATTTAGGCTTGCCATAACATGGGGGTTGAATACTTGACTCAAGACCTTTCACCTCTTCACTTTTTATTAAAAAGAAAATATATATATCCACTTTCACATGATGGGGTATTGTGTGTATTCCAGTGGCCCAAAATCTCAAATGAATCTATTTTAAATTCAGGCAGTAACAACAAAATGTAGAAAAGGTCAAGGGGTGTGAATACTATGAAGGCACTTTACATACCCCAACCAGAAGCCATGGATTATAGGCAACATCAGCACTGAGCTAAAAGCTAGAACTGCCACTTTCAAGGAGTGGGACATTAATCCGAATGCTTATAAGAAATCCTGCTACAACCTTAGATGAGCCATCAAACAGGCAAAGCATCAATACAGGTCTAAGATCGAATCCTACTACGCCAGTTCTGACGCTCGACGGATGTGGCAGGGCATGCAAACTATCATGAATTACAAAGGGAAACCCAGCCGCGAGCTGCCCAGTGACGTGACCCTACCAGACGAGCTACATTTATTCTATGCTCGCTTCGAGGGCAAGCAACACTGAACATGCATGAGAGCACCAGCTGTCCCGGACGACTGTGTGATCTCGCTCTCCGTAGCCGATGTGAGAAAGACCTTTAAACAGGTTAACATTTGCAAGGCCACGGGGCCAGACGGAATACTAGGACACGTACTCAGAGCATCCGCTGACCTGCCTAAATGACTATCGCCCCATAGAGCTCACATCTATAGCCATGAAATGCTTTGAAAGGCTCGTCATGGCTCACATCAACACCATCATCCCAGACACCCTGGACCCACTCCAATTCGCATACCGCCCCAACAGATCCACAGTTCACTGGCTACAGCTCAGTGGTCAACACCAAACTCAGGACCCTGGGACTGAAAACCTCCCTCTGCAACTGGATCCTGGACTCCCAACGGGCTGCCTCCAGGTGGTGAGGGTAGGCAACAACACATCCGCCATGCTGACCATCAACACGGGGGCCCCTCAGGGGTGTGTGTTTAGTCCCCTCCTGTACTCCCTGTTCACCCACACGTAGCCGCGCACGACTCCAACATCATCATCAAGTTTTCTGACGACACAACGGTGGTAGGACTGATCACCGACGACGATGAGGCAGCCTATAGGGAGGTCAGAGACCTGGCAGTGTGGTACCAGGACAACAACCTCTCCCTCAACATCAGCAAGACAAAGGAGCTGATCATGGACTACAGGAAATGGAGGAGTGAGCACACCCCCATCATCATCGATTGGGCTGTAGAGGAGCGGTGTCCACATCACTAAGGAATTAACGTGGTCCACACACCTACACAGTTGTGAAGAGGGCATGACTGCGCCTCTTCCCCATCAGGAGGCTAAAAAGATTTGCCATGGGCCCTCAGATCCTCAAAATGTTATACAGCTGCACCATTGAGAGCATCTTGATTGGCTGCATCACCGCTTGGTACGGCAACTGCAAGGCACCTGACCGCAAGGCATTACAGAGGGTGGTGACCAATGTTCCCTCTAAGCTGCGTGTGTGTGCAGCTCTCCTGGGACTGCCGCGCAGAAGAAATATCAGCCTGCGCAGAGAAGCACGAGATTGAACTTCACTCAACTTTCTAGTTTTTTCCCCGTTAGTTAACACTATCAGTGGTTCATTTTACTGTTGGAATTGTGATCGAAACAACGCAATATTAGCCACTTTCAATGCAACATACCGAAACAAAACGCACTATGCAAGAGATTTTGTTGTAGGCAGAACACATCGGAGTAGGATTCTAATGCATTGACAGGCACGACTAAGGCCCGTACTCTACACAGACCGGTGCGCCATAACCAATCAGAGCTGCAGGTAGGCCTATATGCAAATCGCCCATTGCCATATATGGATCTGTGCGATTCCCTTTGAACTGGACTGTGTTTACAGCATGAGAGTAGATGCGCTTGTTTTGTGCACATTCGTTCATATCCTTTGCTAGTTGGGGGAGTGATTGCTTCCTACAAGAGTACAAAACATGTGCATTTCTAGCCATCTTTGAAAAGTGAGTCAGAGCTTTTTTTTGTCTTAAAGGGGCAGGCTTGAATACGCTAAGTAGCCAATAGGCAGAGGGTTGCATGATTTATCTGATTCTCTGTAATAATGGTATTGGAATAATTATGTATTTCATTTTGTAAAGTGGTTTCTTGCATCAAACAACAACATTTTCAGTCACTTCAGTGTCTGAAGGACAAGTGGAAAAACAGGTTAATGTCAAGTCCTGCATGTTTTTTTCAAATGTCTCTTAGAATGTAGGCCTACATTGAACACCACACATTGGCTACTATTGTAGGCTGAATGATAGAACAGCTACTTCCATGTTAAAATGTTATGGGATGCATTTTCTCCATTGTTTTTGATGATGGTAGGCCACTCTGGTAAACCTACATTATGATCACATAGCCACAGTAGCCTACTTGACCACTGTTAAAACTGCAACTTAGAGCGGGTACAGCCTCAGTGTTCACAGTAAACGCACGCAGGATGTTGCACAGAATTTTCACAATGTTCAAGTTTGCGCTCAGCAGACCTGAAATTTGCTCAGTGCCGAGCTCCATGCCATCCGAGACCCGTGTTCCAGGTGGCGTCAGAGGAAGGCCCAAAAAACAGCCCTGAACAGCTTCTACCACCAAGCCATAAGACTGCTAAACAAGGCTGCTAAATAGCTAATCAAATGGCTACCCGGACTAAACCAACTCTCTTGCACTGACTCTATGCACACACACTGGACTCCACCCACACACTCACACATACTTACAATGACACCCCAACACACACACACACAATGGTGTAAAGTACTTAAGTAAAAATACTTTAAAGTATTACTTATGCAATTTTTGGGGATATCTGTACTTTACTATTTATATTTTGGACAACTTTTACTTCACTACATTCCTAAAGAAAATAATGTACTTTTTACTCCATACATTTTCCCTGACACCTGGCTATCTGTAAATAAAAAATAAATTTAAAAAATGGTCCTGTCTGCTATGCTTAATATAAGGAATTTGAAATAATTCATATTTTGACTTATGATACTTAAGTCATTTTAGCAATTACATTTACTTTTGATACTTGAGTAAAATAAAAGTAAAGATACCTTAGTAGAAAATGACTCAAGTAAAAGTGAAAGTCACTCAGTAAAATGGTAAAAGTATTTGGTTTTAAATATACTTAAGTAGAACAACTGGGTACTTTTTCCACCACTGCACTCACTACATACATGCACACACATGCATACTAACTCCAGACACGCACTCACACACACACTTTCACACTCACCACACACGCTGCTGCTACTGCTCAGTCAATTATCTATCCTGTTGCCTAGTCACTTTACCCTTACCTACAGTGGGGAGAACAAGTATTTGATACACTGCCGATTTTGCAGGTTTTCCTACTTACAAAGCATGTAGAGGTCTGTAATTTTTATCATAGGTACACTTCAACTGCGAGAGACGGAATCTAAAACCAAAAATCCAGAAAATCACATTGTATGATTTTTAAGTAATTCATTTGCATTTTATTGCATGACATAAGTATTTGATCACCTACCAACCAGTAAGAATTCCGGCTCTCACAGACCTGTTCGTTTTTCTTTAAGAAGCCCTCCTGTTCTCCACTCATTACCTGTATTAACTGCACCTGTTTGAACTCGTTACCTGTATAAAAGACACCTGTCCACACACTCAATCAAACAGACTCCAACCTCTCCACAATGGCCAAGACCAGAGAGCTGTGTAAGGGATAAAATTGTAGACCTGCACAAGGCTGGGATGGGCTACAGGACAATAGGCAAGCAGCTTGGTGAGAAGGCAACAACTGTTGGCGCAATTATTAGAAAATGGAAGAAGTTCAAGATGACGGTCAATCACCCTCGGTCTGGAGCTCCATGCAAGATCTCACCTCGTGGGGCATCAATGATCATGAGGAAGGTGAGGGATCAGCCCAGAACTACACGGCAGGACCTGGTCAATGACCTGAAGAGAGCTGGGACCACAGTCTCAAATAAAACCATTAGTAACACACTACGCCGTCATGGATTAAAATCCTGCAGCGCACGCAAGGTCCCCCTACTCAAGCCAGCGCATGTCCTGGCCCGTCTGAAGTTTGCCAATGACCATCTGGATGATCCAGAGGAGGAATGGGAGAAGGTCGTGTGGTCTGATGAGACAAAAATAGAGCTTTTTGGTCTAAACTCCACTCGCCGTGTTTGGAGGAAGAAGAAGGATGAGTACAACCCCAAGAACACCATCCCAACCGTGAAGCATGGAGGTGGAAACATCATTCTTTGGGGATGCTTTTCTGCAAAGGGGACAGGACGACTGCACCGTATTGAGGGGAGGATGTATCGCGAGATCTTGGCCAACAACCTCCTTCCCCCAGTAAGAGCATTGAAGATGGGTCGTGGCTGGGTCTTCCAGCATGACAACGACCCGAAACACATAGCCAGGGCAACTAAGGAGTGGCTCCGTAAGAAGCATCTCAAGGTCCTGGAGTGGCCTAGCCAGTCTCCAGACCTGAACCCAATAGAAAATCTTTGGAGGGAGCTGAAAGTCCGTATTGCCCAGCAACAGCCCCGAAACCTGAAGGATCTGGAGAAGGTCTGTATGGAGGAGTGGGCCAAAATCCCGGCTGCAGTGTGTGCAAACCTGGTCAAGACCTACAGGAAACATATGATCTCTGTAATTGCAAACAAAGGTTTTTGTACCAAATATTAAGTTATGCTTTTCTGATGTATCAAATACTTATGTCATGCAATAAAATGCAAATTAATTACTTAAAAATCATACAATGTGATTTTCCGTCTCTCACAGTTGAAGTGTACCTATGATAAAAATTACAGACCTCTACATGCTTTTTAAGTAGGAAAACCTGCAAAATCGGCAGTGTATCAAATACTTGTTCTCCCCACTGTATATGTGTATAGCTACCCCAATTACCTCGAACCCCCCTGCACATTGACGCGGTACTGGTACTCCCTGTGTATAGCGGTACTGGTACTCCCTGTGTATAGCGGTACTGGTACTCCCTGTGTATAGCGGTACTGGTACTCCCTGTGTATAGCGGTACTGGTACTCCCTGTATATAGCCATGTTATTGTTACTTGTTATTGTTATTCACTGTGTATTTGTTCCTCGTGTCACTATTTAATATTTTTTGTATCTTTAACTGCATTGTTGGTAAAGGGCTCGTAAGTAAGCATTTCACTGTTAGTCTACACCTGTTGTTTACGAAGCATGTGACAAATCAAATTTGATTTGGTTAATCAGCCTGGCTGGCGTCTCTGCAGAGTGGCAGAGTGATTAATCAGGTCTGCCGGGCGGGGTGAGAGAGGGAGAGCAGGGAGAAGGGGGTGACTGGAGACCAGGGAGGAGCAAGGAATTAAAGTAGAAAAGAAAAGGGAACATCTCATCTTATTACACTCACCTTAAAAGGGATAGTGCAAGATTGTCAATTAAGACGATTTTCTACTTACCCAGAGTCAGATGAACTCATGGATACCATTTTTATGTCCCTGCGTGCAGTTTGAAGGAAGTTAAAGTAGTTTAGTGAGCCATCGCTAACTAGCGTTAGCGCAATGACTAGAAGTCTAGCTACAAGAACAGCTAGCATAAGTAGAAAAATGACTTAATTGCCAAAAGCTGAAAAATGACTTAATTGCCAAAATCTCAGACTATCCCTTTAAATAAAGTTAGAAACAACCTTACCTTCAAAAGTTCCTTGTTAGCAAATGCCAGAATCCCCTCAAATATGACAACGTTGGCACCATACACAGTTTTCTGCAAAAAAAGAGCACACACCATAAAGAGATTATTACCACACAAAGCATATGGTGTACACTGACTGTACATAATTAGGCAGACAGACATCATATGGCAGAACAGGGACTGTGCCAGCTTTTCCAGGCATTATGAACAATGTGCCCACCAGGTGTGCCAGGTAAGAGCGTGGGTGTGTGCCTAGCAGAGGGAGACAGGTGGGTTAGCGAGGTGCAAGGGACACAGCGCTTTGGCAGCACCCCTCTGCAGTCCTGTCACCATGTTTACAGCTAAACCCAATGGTTATGAGATTCTCCAAATCCCCCCCTCTTCCCTCTACTCCCCCTGTTCCTCTGGCCTATCCCCTCTCCTCCCCCTCCTCCCTGGCTCTCTACCCCGGGTTCCTCCAGCCTATCCCCCTCTGATTTACGGCCCTAATCGAAGCAGTTTGTTTGCTGTAATTACCTTCCACTGCAGCTCTGATAATGGGTAATGTGATTTTTTTACCAAAGGAAGTAATGTCAGAGGTGGCTGAGCAGAACAGTGCAGGCCAGCTTGTCACGATCTCAGTGACTCACAGGGTCCTGATATGATCGTATGTGTCAGACTCTGAGTGAAGACATGTAACACTCAGGTGGTCTGGTAGTATTGCCTAGTCAGGGAGCTACAGAGTGTCACAACCCCATTACAGGAGTCAGACGAGCTCGGAGCTGCAGTGAATGACCAGGCTACCTTTGTATTGATCAGAGAGAGGGGAGTGGATCTCACACAGAGAGAAAAAGTGTTAATGGTTTCATTAATTTACCACATTACTACCCCCTGGTGATTTAAAAAGGCTTTAAAATAGAGGCAGCAGCTCAGAGGGAGGGAGCAAAGTGACCTCTAAGTTTACTAGTAGTAGACAAAATAGTTAATCTTCATTAATAATGAGTGTTGTAAAGTCCGTCACGAATGCTGGCTACATTCACTGCTAGACTAGTGCTTCCCTAGGGTTCTATGGCTTAATTACATTAACACTCCCATCATAAAATAAGTTTTGAGTTACAAGTAATGTCATTGTTTCCCTGGATAGCTGTGCTTCTTTCAGCCATGAAATTGCATTGCGTCTTGAGGATATGAAAGCAACCATTAAACTAGGGCTGACCCTATTTAGTCGACTGATTGTTTGGTCAATAGGTTGTTGGTCGACCAAGATTTTTTTTAGTCAAGCAGTCTAAAATAAATAAATACACACACAAAAACACACATATATATATATATATATACACACATACACACATACATACATACATACATACATACATACATACATACACACACACAGTGAGGGAAAAAAGTATTTGATCCCCTGCTGATTTTGTACGTTTGCCCACTGACAAATAAATGATCAGTCTATAATTTTAATGGTAGGTTTATTTGAACAGTGAGAGACAGAATAACAAATAATAAATCCAGAAAACGCATATCAAAAATGTTATAAATTGATTTGCATTTTAATGAGGGAAATAAGTATTTGACCCCTCTGCAAAACATGACTTAGTACTTGGTGGCAAAACCCTTGTTGGCAATCACAGAGGTCAGACGTTTCTTGTAATTGGCCACCAGGTTTGCACACATCTCAGGAGGGATTTTGTCCCACTCCTCTTTGCAGATCTTCTCCAAGTCATTAAGGTTTCGAGGCTGACGTTTGGCAACTCGAACCTTCAGCTCCCTCCACAGATTTTCTATGGGATTAAGGTCTGGAGACTGGCTAGGCCACTCCAGGACCTTAATGTGCTTCTTCTTGAGCCACTCCTTTGTTGCCTTGGCCGTGTGTTTTGGGTCATTGTCATGCTGGAATACCCATCCACGACCCATTTTCAATGCCCTGGCTGAGGGAAGGAGGTTCTCACCCAAGATTTGACGGTACATGGCCCCGTCCATCGTTCCTTTGATGCGGTGAAGTTGTCCTGTCCCCTTAGCAGAAAAACACCCCCAAAGCATAATGTTTCCACCTCCATGTTTGACGGTGGGGATGGTGTTCTTGGGGTCATAGGCAGCATTCCTCCTCCTCCAAACACGGCGAGTTGAGTTGATGCCAAAGAGCTCGATTTTGGTCACCTGACCACAACACTTTCACCCAGTTCTCCTCTGAATCATTCAGATGTTCATTGGCAAACTTCAGACGGGCATGTATATGTGTATTCTTGAGCAGGGGGACCTTGCGGGCGCTGCAGGATTTCAGTTCTTCACGGCGTAGTGTGTTACCAATTGTTTTCTTGGTGACTATGGTCCCAGCTGCCTTGAGATCATTGACAAGATCCTCCCGTGTAGTTCTGGGCTGATTCCTCACCGTTCTCATGATCATTGCAACTCCACGAGGTGAGATCTTGCATGGAGCCCCAGGCCGAGGGAGATTGACAGTTCTTTTGTGTTTCTTCCATTTGCGAATAATCGCACCAACTGTTGTCACCTTCTCACCAAGCTGCTTGGTGATGGTCTCGTAGCCCATTCCAGCCTTGTGTAGGTCTACAATCTTGTCCCTGACATCCTTGGAGAGCTCTTTGGTCTTGGCCATGGTGGAGAGTTTGGAATCTGATTGATTGATTGCTTCTGTGGACAGGTGCCTTTTATACAGGTAACAAGCTGAGATTAGGAGCACTCCCTTTAAGAGTGTGCTCCTAATCTCAGCTCGTTACCTGTATAAAAGACAACTGGGAGACAGAAATCTTTCTGATTGAGAGGGGGTCAAAAACTTATTTCCCTCATTAAAATGCAAATCAATTTATAACATTTTTGACATGCGTTTTTCTGGATTTTTTTGTTGTTATTCTGTCTCTCACTGTTCAAATAAACCTAACATTAAAATTATAGACTGATAATTTCTTTGTCAGTGGGCAAACGTACAAAATCAGCAGGGGATCAAATACTTTTTTCCCTCACTGTATATATAATAATTTAAAACATTTTTATGGCACGAGACACCTGTCTGATTCATGCTTGTCTCAGTGGACTAACCCATTGCGGAGGCCGTGCGGATGGCACACCAGTAGTACATTTACAGTTATCTCCCATGTTGGTTTGGTTACAGTCATTTCTGTTAATGCATTCAATATACTATTATTACAGTCTTATCGTTCTCATTGTCGGAGTGGACACGTTGTTTGTGGACCGCACAACCTAGGAAAAAGTTTGTGGTTTATTTCATTCCATTTAGGAGTTGTCAATTTATTCATTGTCGTTCGTTTGTAGTGCTCCTGTCAATGTTGAGTAAGGTCGCGCACCTGATTATACATAGAAGTAGGCCTAGGCTACCTGGCCTGCACGCAAATGTAGGCCTATAAATGTGCCCATTTGGGGATGTGATAGTACTTCTGATTGTCTTAACTGACCACCACTGTGGAACTTCTCAAAGTAATTTTTTCTTCACCTCAAACAGCAAGTAAACAAAGTCTGTTTTTACATCCATTGAGAATGACAATAGTTCCTCAATGTAGTCTATTTGAAAAATCTTTCCAGCTCTCTTTCGATAACCTCTCAGCGTGAAAGGGGGAGAACAATGTCATGCTCTGATCTGGTGGAAACGTCATAAAATAGGCGTACCTGATTACTTCTTATCCCTTGTGCAAATAGTCTACAGCTATGTCTGTCCGGTGCTCACTGGAGCGGGAAACTGAGGGCCCAGAATATTGTGTACAATGTTGCAAGTTTGCTAGTGCAAGTTTCAGGCCGGACCCAAGTTAATAGTTGATCAAATGTTTCAAGATCTTTGCAGACAGGCCATGCGTAGCCAATGTGATTTATAGGATATTTATTTTTATCAGGATATTTTCTACCTGCAGGCTGCAATGTTTTTATTTGTTGGCTTTATGTAGGCTATTTTTACATAGTTGGCAATGGCAATAGAAGTTCCTTTTCGAATTTTTATTAACCACATGATTTTGAGATACGAAGACTATTATAAATGAAATGAAACTGTTCCATGAAAATGTGCATATAAAAATCATAACTGGCACGCAGATCGGTAGAAATTGGTAAAATAAATTGGCACTCCAAATGGAAAAGGTTGCCGACCCCTGGTGTAGCCTATTAGGAGCGTAACAGCAGAATATGCGAAGGCCAGCAGCAGCGGGAGGAAGAGGGTTGGGAACTGGTTTTTTCTTCTTCTGGATAGGCTATCTTGCTCTCTGGCTCTCTTGAATCATTTGTGTGTCTTAATTATTTAAAGCATCAGACAAGCTCAGTAGCCTAAATATAGTTGGTTAGGGTGTCTATATAAGAAAAAATACACATTTAAAATTTCGCCCAATCGATTGGTCGAAAGAACAGACGACTCTAGGTCGACCAAGATGTTTTTTTTTGTCGGGGACAGCCCTATATTAAACATTGAATGGAATTCTTACAACGACATGCTCTTTGTTGATAGTCGATATATAGAGATGTTTTAAATTCACACAAGCAGTTTATTTTTTCATTTAACATTGCTGAGACACAAAAGATTATCATTGGAAATGTTTTCCTGAACCTTCCTTACCCATTCCTTGCGGCGGCAGTGAGAAGTGAAGTCGTAGACGGGTACTTTGATGCTCTTGCCCTTCTTCAGCTTCCTCAGAACAGTCACCAGCAGCTCAAAGTCAAAGGCCTCTGGGTGGTCAAAGTTATACTCGTTCTTAGCTGCCAGCTCCTGCTCATCTTTGGTCAAAACCTGGGGGGAGAAAACAAAGTCAAGACTCAGGAATTCAATTACATCTCAAACTAACCTGGGCCCTTTCCCCTGAACCCCTAGGAAGGTACTTTAGATACTAGAAGTTTAGATAGCTGGCTAGACTAACTTACCAATCTAAAAAATGTTAGCTGACATGGGCTAATTGAGTGACTGTCAGTGGCTGACATAAGAGAAAATCTGCTGATGCACAAACACATTTCAAAATTGCACCTTGTGTATTCTAGTATTCTAACTCTCAAAAGTAAGTTGAGACCCCGACTGAGTTCCCCCACAAAAGCGGGCCGGACGGTAGTTGCCCATCTCTGCTGTAGAGGGTATTGATTGTTCTGTGCTGCCCCTATACTAAACCACAGGGGGCTAGTTTGGGCTAGTTTACCTTCAAGAGCCTTCCTTATAAATAAAGCCAGGATCTTACCAAGGATAAACTCCTGGGGCTAAGCATATCTTATTATAGTTTACCTTGGTGTCCTCCTTATAGCATTTACGTGATACTCTTTTAGTAGAAACTCTAGAAAACTAAGTTTACCTTATAGAAAGAGTCCATGGAGAGGAGGACCACCCAGGGAACATCCAGAGCCTCAATTATCTTATTGGCCACCGTAGTTTTCCCAGAGGCACTTCCTCCACACAGCCCTGCAGGAAGAAACAGGGGTAAGGCGGGGCTCCTGACAAACGTACACTAGGAATCCAAAACAACTGTGGGAGTGAATCCAACAATACATGCTGTGGTTGTGAAAAACAGGATGCAGTGCTCATAGTGTCTGCTGCTGCACAGGGAGTGGAACCCCTATTAAGTGGTGAATACATAAACCAGAGAGGTGCAATGGTTCAGATAATATGGTGAAGTTCAAAACTGATGAGTTAGGCTACAAACTTGCACAGAAAGAATATTCAAGATAACAAAACGTAACTGAAAAGTGCCTGGATAAGCTGGTTTTTCAAAATAATTGATTTCACTTAGAATTTAGCTATGTTGTCACAACAATGAAAACCAGCCATCAGACTGACTGACACAGACCATGAAGCAACCCATCCCCTAAATGACATTAAATCTGTCTGGAATTGTTAACCAGAGAAAATGTCAAACTCCTTTTATGTGCTCTCTTTCTCTCTCACTTGGCCTCTCCTCATTCTCTCCTCTTTGACCTCTGAGGCAGACTTCCTACTATTTCCTCCAGTAGCAGAGTGCTGGCCAGAGCAGACCAGCAGGATGGCCTTTTTACGGGAATCATCGACCAGGGCACATCTTCAGAAGAATGGCGCTGGAATGTATAGCGGCCGTTTTACAGGCTCCAGACCAATTCTGCTATTTTGTGTTTGTTTTTTTTTGGCACTCATCTTAACTTTTCTTTTTACATGTTTCCACCATCGTTTCCTATGACCGAAAAGAGCTTCTGGACATCAGAACGGAGATCACTAACCTTGAATTGGATGAAGATTTCTACTTCAATGAGTCGGCTGCAAAGGACAAACTGCTCACCCCTGACCGATATAGAGGCCAAAGAACTGTACTACCCTATGTTTCTCAGAAACTTGGCTGAACAAGGACATGGATAATATTCTAGCTGTCTTTTTCTAGGACAGAACGGCAGCGTTGGGTAATCTCAAGGGGGGTGGTGTGTATCTCTTCATTAACAACAGCTGGTGCGTGATTTCTAATATTAAGGAAGTGTCGAGGTTCTGCTCACCTGAGTTAGAATACCTCATGATAAGCTGCAGACCATACTATTTACCAAGAGATTTCATCTATATTTTTCAAAGCAGTCTATTTACCACCACAAACCGATGCTGGCACTATGACCGCACTCAACGAGCTGTATAGGGCCATAAGCCGAACGTGAAAATGCTCATCCTGTGGCAGCGCTCCTAGTGGTCAGGGATCTGAAAACAGATTTCAGTTTTCCTGCATTATCTAATTTCGACCAGCATGTCACCTGTGCAACTAGAGGCAAAAAAAACTCTAGATCACCTTTACTCCACACACAGAGACGCATATAAAGCTTGCCCTCCATTTGGCAAATCTGACCTAACTCTATCCTGCTGATTCCTGCTTACAAACAAAAACTCAAACAGGAAGTACTTGTGACGCGCTCATTGCGGAAGTGACCGTACATACATATCCCAACCAGAAGCCATGGATTACAGGCAACATCCACACTGAGCTTAAGGCTAGAGCTGCCGCTTTCAAGGAGCGGGACACTAACCCGGACGCTTACAAGAAATCCCGCTACGCCCTCCGACAAACCATCAAAACAGACAAAGCGTCAATGTAGGACTAAGAAATAATCCTACTACACCAGCGCTGACGCTCATCGTATGTGGCAGGGTTTGCAAACTAGGGCTGGGCGATATGGCCTAAACCTCATCTCAATTTTTTCAAACTTATGTTTGAGGAGGCTGAAAATATTTGCCATGGGCCCCCAGATCCTCAAAAAGTTCTACAGCTGCACCATTGAGAGCATCTTGACTGGCTGCATTACCGCTTGGTACGGCAACTGCAAGACACCTGACCGCAAGGCACTACAGAGGGTAGTGCTTACGGCACAGTACATCACTTGAGCCGAGCTCCCTGCCATTTAGGACATCTATACCAGGCCGTTGTCAAAGGAAGGCCAGAAAAATTGTAAAAGACTCCAGCCACCCAAGTCATAGACGGTTCTCTATGCTACCTCACAGCAAGTGGTACGAACAGTCTGGAACCAACATGACCCTGAACAGCTTCTACCCCAAGCCATAAGACTGATAAATAGTTAACCAAATAGCTACCCGGACTATCTGCATTGACCCTTTTTGCACACACTTTTTTTGACTCATCACATACGCTGCTGCTACTGTTTACAATCAGTCACTTTATTCCTAGTTATATGTACATATCTACCTCAATTACCTCGTACCCCTGCACATCGACTCGGTACTGGTACCCCGTGTATATAGCCAAGTTATCATTACTCATTGTGTATCTATTATTACGTGTTTTACTTTTAAATTTCTCTCTCTCTGCATTGTTGGGAAGGGCCTTTCACTGTTAGTCCAAACCTGTTGTTTTACGAAGCATGTGACAAATAACATTTTATTTTTATCCAAGTGTAAAATTGTTAAGCTAGCATGGAGGATGCCCTGAGCACTGAGGATGAGAGGCCATTATTGTATGATTTCTGAAAACCTTCACTATTTCAGGATAATTAAATTCTCTAAAAATGTCCACACTGCCAGTTGCACTACCTATCAACTCTCCAGGACCAGGTTTGGTGACTAACCACTCCTTTTTATGTCATTTATGTTCATCGAGTTAAGTTTAGGGTTTGAGTTTACAGGTAATGAGTCATTACAATGTCAAATGTAAGCTCGCTTACCAATGACGAAAGCCTCCTTGAAGGTGGTCCCAGTGACATTGTACCAGGGGGGCCGTCCTGCAGTGTAGATGGTCCTCTTGTTGGTCCTCAGGAGAGGTGGCTCAGTCTTGCTCTGGCTGGTGGTCCGTTTCCGTGGAGAGAGCGAGGGGGTCAGAGGGCAGCGGGGGCGGTTACGAAGACTGTCCAGAGAATCATCTCTACTGCCACTGGGGTACGAAAACACCACAAGGGACAAAAAGGTTAGGACAGCACACATTCAGCCTCAACATGATAATTTATCCCTCTTCACTGGATACCCTTTTATTATTGTAGAGATTCTCCATTGAAGAGGATTGTATTACAGCTATGATTTATTAATGAGGCGAATCACTTCAAACATCCACTCACAAAAGCCATCATATCCATATCTACCATCAGAGACGCCATTTGAGCTCACACCTGCCCCATGAAGATCTGGACAATTTGATTACAATGTCTAGGCCCTATGGCCTGTGGAGAGAGAAGAGACGGGGGTCCATACATTTCAGGAGCCCTCATCAGTAGTTCTCCACAGTTACACTAAATGGCCAAATGTATGTGAACACCCCTTCAAATTAGTGGATTCAGCTATGTCAGCCAAACCCATTTCTGACAGGTGTATAAAATCGAGCACACAGCCATGCAATCTCCATACACAAACATTGGCAGTAGAATGGCCCGTACTGAAGAGCTCAGTGACTTTCAACGTGGCACCGTCATAGGATGCCACCTTTCCAAAAAGTCAGTTAGTCAAATTTCTTCCCTGCTAGAGCTGCCCCGATCAAGTGTAAGTGCTGTTATTGTGAAGTAGAAACATCTAGGAACAACAACGGCTCAGCTGCGAAGTGGTAGGCCACACAAGCTCATAGAATGGGACCGGCGAGTGCTGAAGCGCGAAAAAATAGTTAGTCCTCAGTTGTAACACTCACGTCCGAGTTCCAAAAAGCAACGGCAGCACAAGCACACTGTTCGTCAGGAGCTTCATGAAATGGGTTTTCATGGCCGAGCAGCCGGACACAAGCCTAAGATCACCATGCCCAATGTTAAGCGTCGGCTGGAATGGTGTAAAGCTCGCCGCCATTGGACTCTGGAGCAGTGTATGTACAACGCGAACGTCTAGCAACTCAAAGGTTGTGTGTTCGAATCTCATCACGGATAACTTTAGCATTTTTCGTTAATTAGCTACTTTGCAACTATACCGGACAAAAATAAAAAACGCAACATGCAATGATTTTACTGAGTTACAGTTCATATAAAGAAATCATTCAATTGAAAGAAATGAATTAGGCCCTAATCTATGGACTTCTACTTGGAGCCTGGCACAGCAAATCAAAATGATTTTTTCCCCCACAAAAGGGCTTTATTACAGACTGAAATAGTGCTTAGTTTCATCAGCTGTCCAGGTGGCTGGTCTCAGACGATCCCGCAGTTGAAGAAGCCGGATGTGGAGGTCCTTGTCTGGCGTTTTTACACGTAGTCTGCGGTTGTGAGGCCGGTTGGACGTACTGCCAAGTTCTCTAAAACTAAGTTGAGGTGGCTTATGGTAGAGAAATGAACATTCAATTATCTGGCAACAGCTCTGGTGGACATTCCTGCAGTCAGCATGCCAATTGCAAGCTCCCTCAAAACTTGAGACATCTTTGGTATTGTGTTATGTGACAAAACTGCACATTTTAGAGTGGCCTTTTACTGTGCCCAACACAAGGTGTACTTGTGTAATGATCATGCTGTTTAATCAGTTTCTTGATATGCCACACCTGTCAATTGGATGGATTATGTTGGCAAAGGAGAAATGCTCACTAACAGGGATGTAAACAAATTTGTGCACAAAATTTGAGAGAAATAAGCTTTTTGTGCGTATGGAACATTTCAGGGATCTTTTATTTCAGCTCATGAAACATGGGACCAACACTTTACATGTTGTGTTTATATTGTTGTTCAGTATACTTACTACTTCTTAACTACTTTGCAACTACTTAGCATGTTAGATAACCCTTCCCCTAACCTTAACCCTTTAACCTAACCCTTTAACTACTTATCTAGCATGTTAACTAACCCTAAACCTAACCTTAACTCCTAGCCTAGCTAACGTTAGCCACAACAAATTGGAATTTGTGTAATGTACACGAATGCGTTATGAAGAAAGAAAATTGTGTAATACACACAAAATGCATTGTGATGAAAACCGTGTAATACACATTTGCACATTATCTTCTGCACATCTATCACTCCAGTGTTAATACTAAATTGTAATTATTTTGCACTATGGCCTATTTATTGCCTTACCTCCATAACTTACTACATTTGCACACACTGTATATAAATGTTCTATTGTGTTATTGACTGTACGTTTTGTTTTTGTTTATCCCATATGTAACTCTGTTGTTGTTTTTATCACACTTCTTTGCTTCATCTTGGCCAGGTCGCAGTTGTAAATGAGAACTTGTTCTCAACTGGCTTACCTGGTTAAATAAAGGTGAAATAAAAATAAATAAACACATGAAAAAGTGGACTTTTGTGTGCCAGTCACGAATTTCAAATAAGTAATTTGTGTCTATTTCACAATAAGCTGCGATGGTGTGTTGTTTATAAAGGAGCAGTCTAAGTAAAAACCAGTACATCAATTATCAGAAACTGTGTTGACTGAAACACACACAGCCAACACTAGTTTTACTGTCTGTGGGGGTGAGGGAGAAGGATGAAACCTTGACCACCCTCTCCAGGAAATCACACTGCTGCCTGTGGGCATTGGGCAGGTACTTGCATGAGTGAGGCTGTCATCATTTGGCCAAATAGTGTAGAAATTAAATGTGTGACAACAGCTGGGCTGTTTCATGTCTAAAAGTGGTTTCCTTACCTACTCTTCCTCTTCATCTGTCCTGATCTGAAGAAGACATGACAGGACATGTGAAAGCAAATTTGGTCATTCAAGGCCTATCAGGTATACATTCTCACATGACAAGTTCACGTAAGTGTAGTGTAGGAGAGGCGACGAAGAGATGAAGCCAACTATTTAACTTAACACCTGGACGTTCATATTGTTGCTGCTCCGCTACAATGCTAACTAGGCATCTGAATCACTGCACCCATATTCACTGCCACGAGTACGTGATGGTGCATTAGCTAGCTAATGCAGCCATCTGATTAATTTACTACATTCAACATAACTAGGCAACCTACTTATCTGGCTTCCAACAGTCAAGCTGAGATATTGAGTATAGGCTTACATAAATGAACTTATTTCAAAGAAACACTAGCTTTGTGTGGTGGCATGACTAATGCTAGCTAGCTGGCTAGCCATGCCACCCCATCTGTCGTTGGCTTAGCCGGTTAATCTTCGGCGTGTCTCTGTACTGCTCTTTGTTAGCCTGAAACATATATCAACTATTTATATATACCTGTCAGATCTAGACACGGACAGGTCTTCTTCTTTCTCCCCCTCTTCTTTTTGTGGCATCTGGACATGGTTTAGGTTAATTGTCATTGCCATGTTTCCTTCCATCTCGTACTGGCTGGCTGTGCGTAAACACCGGAGGGAGCGTGTGACGTCACATTTTGTGTAAACGTCATGTGCGTGCGTGGAGTGCGCTCCATCCCGCAGCCCATAGATTTATGCCGCGTTCAAATACTAGTCGGAACTAGGAAACTCGGAAATGTCAGACTTGCTGATAAAATGAACGCAGCACGTGTATAACTACAACTAGTTAACACGTTGGAGATCTCCGAGTTTCCTAGTTCCGACTAGTACTTGAACGCGGCATTATATCACAGACAGAAGGGGTAACCCAGACACGTCACAGGGGCTATCCAACTGAAGCATCCGTTTAGAACGTTTTCTCACCACCAAATATGGGAGTGAGAGGAAGTCCAGTCATGGGTAATGGAAGAGGATCGAACTAGGTCAAACTGGGCCGACGTTCTGATAATTATCTCATTGATGAAACATCTGATCTCAATAAATTTTTCTATTCCCAAAACTATAATATATTACGAACACAGTGCACTACGTTTTATAGACTTGACGCTTTGTTAATTGCGTTGTTTAGGAGTGCAAGGTCAAATTGAGTTTGTACACACGCGCACTTCACGGAGGGGTCGACCCCTAACAGAAATATGCAAACACATACTACAACGCGTCAATAGGATCTCGGTAGCTCATGCTTGTTCTGCCCACTATGCTTCATTTACTCCCACTGTATCCAACAAAGATTAACTTGCTTGGGTTAGTTATAAAAAATATTGGGTTAGTTGTACACATATTTGCTTATGTGCTGCGTTTAGACGAGGGATGCAAAAACAGTAATACCAGTCGGCATAGTGGGACAAGAAACCAAGAAAGACTGTGACCGCAAAAGCAAGCCAGCACGAAGGTATGCGTTGCTATGGTGATTTCCGTAAACAAACAGTGCATTCGGTAGAAAACAACACTACAGCAGACGGCAAAAGTTGAAATATTGGAGTCCCGTCTACCGTTGCGGCTGAAGACATTCACCGCCAGACTCAACATAATTTACTGTCATGCTCTCATTGAAAACAATGGCATCCCATTAGCCGTCTACCTCGTACGATGTAAACGCAGCATTAGATAGACCAGGCGTTATTGTATCTGTCCCATTATGGGGTCTATGAGAGCATGGCCAACAGCAAAAAAAAGTATACAGTAACTAACCCAAGATACACCACCGGTGCTGTTTCCAATGGGAGCAAATGAAGCATAGTGGGCAGAACAAGCAAGGAGGTGGGCAGAGGCAAGCACGAGCTAGCGAGATCCTATTGGCTATTACTAGCAAGTATTTGCATATTTCTGGTAGGGAACCACTACTCTGTGGAGTGCGCATGTGCAATAACTCAATTCGCCCTTCCACTCCTTCTAAACAATGCCATTTAAAAAATAAGTCTACAAAACTTAGTCCACTCTGTTCATAACAGATTGTAGTTTTGGGAACAGAAAACTGTATTGAGATCGAATGTTTCATCGATGGGAAAATTAGCAGAATGTTGGCCAAGTTTCACCTAGCTCCAGCTTCTACCACTTCCTGCCATATTTGGCCTTCTTTAGTAACCTGGCTCTTAAAAACCTTTGCACATCTACTAGTGATCCAGGCCACTTGTAGAGCAGCCGTGCATCTTTAGACTTCTATGGATAAAATCACTGAGGAAGCCATGAAGTGCTTTGAAAGGCTGGTCATGGCTCACATCAACAGCATTATCCCAGAAACCCTAGACCCACTCCAATTTGCATACCGCCCCAACAGATCCACAGATGATGCAATCTCTATTGCACTCCACACTGCCCTTTCCCACCTGGACAAGAGGAACACCTACGTGAGAATGCTATTCATTGACTACAGCTCAGCATTCAACACCATAGTGCCCTCTAAGCTCATCACTAAGCTAAGGATCCTGGGACTAAACACCTCCCTCTGCAACTGGATCCTGGACTTCCTGACGGGCCGCCCCCAGGTGGTAAGGGTAGGTAACAACACATCTGCCACACTGATCCTCAACACGGGGGCCCCTCAGGGGTGCGTGCTCAGTCCCCTCCTGTACTCTCTGTTCACCCATGACTGCATGGCCAGGCACGACTCCAACACCATCATTAAGTTTGCCGACGACACAACAGTGGTAGGCCTGATCACCAACAACGATGAGACAGCCTATAGGGAGGAGGTCACAGACCTGGCCGTGTGGTGCCAGGACAACAACCTCTCCCTCAACGTGACCAAGACAAAGGAGATGATTGTGGACTACAGGAAAAAAAAGAGGACTGAGCACGCCCCCATTCTCATCGACGGGGCTGTAGTGGAACAGGTTGAGAGCTTCAAGTTCCTTGGTGTCCACATCACCAACGAACTATCATGGTCCAAACACACCAAGACAGTCGTGAAGAGGGCACGACAAAGCCTATTCCCCCTCAGGAGACTGAAAAGATTTGGCATGGGTCCTCAGATCCTCAAAAAATTCTACAGCTGCACCATCGAGAGCATCCTGACTGGTTGCATCACCGCCTGGTATGGCAACTGCTTGGCCTCCGACCGCAAGGCACTACAGAGGGTAGTGCGTACGGCCCAGTACATCACTGGGGCCAAGCTTTCTGCCATCCAGGACCTCTATACCAGGCGGTGTCAGAGGAAGGCCCTCAAAATTGTCAAAGACTCCAGCCACCCTAGTCATAGACTGTTCTCTCTGCTACCGCACGGCAAGCGGTACCGGAGTGCCAAGTCTAGGTCCAAAAGACTTCTCAACAGCTTCTACCCCCAAGCCATAAGACTCCTGAACAGCTAATCATGGCTACCCGGACTATTTGCACTGCCCCCCCACCCCATCCTTTTTACGCTGCTGCTACTCTGTTAATTATTTATGCATAGTCACTTTAACTCTACCCACATGTACATATTACCTCAACTACCTCAACTAGCCGGTGCCCCCGCACATTGACTCTGCAACGGTACCCCCCTGTATATATAGCCTCCCTACTGTTACTTTATTTTACTTCTGCTCTTTTTTTTCTCAACACTTTTTTTGTTGTTGTTTTATTTTTACTTTTTTTGTTAAAAATAAATGCACTGTTGGTTAAGGGCTGTAAGTAAGCATTTCACTGTAATGTCTGCACCTGTTGTATTCAGCGCATGTGACCAATAAAATTGGATTTGATTTGATTTGATTTGAAGCTTGTAAAAAATCCATATTTAAACCTATGTTGTGATAATTGCATTGTTTGCTCTATAACCCATTTGTTCATTTGCCATCATGATAAACAATAAGGCAATGACAACAGTGGCGGAATAAATTCAACTACACATTTTTTTGTTTCATCACAAAACCGGAGAGCAACATCTGTCATGTTAAGTCCACAAAGCAAATATTGCATGTAACAAACAGTTATATCTCCTGCAACATGGTCAAGCAAGTTAATGTTTTCGACAACTACTGATTTAGAACCACGCAGTTACCACAAGTCAGCACAAAGACAACAGGAGCACTGCCGCTGTTATTTCAGCACCATTTTAACTTAAACATTTAAACATCTTCAAATAAACAAGGCTATATATGCTTAGTTTAACACACTGAAAACCAACTTAAAGATACCAAAAACTATTTAGTCCAATCAATGTTGCTGAATGTCATGTGGCTGTTCATGGTACTTATTTCTGTGTGTGTGTGCATGCATGTAAAATTATTTTTTTACTCACCCTACTTGTATTAGACTAGTTGAACGCCAATGCCATCCTCCTCTCTTTCATGTTGGCAAAACTGTCTATGGCTCTGTCATAGAGTACGCTTTTAGTTTTTGTTGTCATAGGCTACCTAGCTAAAATGCTTGCTAGCCTAACTTCCTCGCATGGGCAACAATGAACCAGCTAAATTAGCTAGCTTGTTAACGTGAGCCTAAAAGGGCTAGGCTACATCTAGTCTACATATTGAACTGCAATCTTCTCAGGCCAGTGGCACCACATTAATTTAATTTGTGGTTAGATCAGCATCGCTGCCATAACCATTGGCCTGTACAGATAATTAAGTCAAGACCACAAGTCCAAATCCCCATCTCCATCCATGGCTTAGGAAAGGGCCGATATAGCAAGCTAGCTACTGCAGGACATCAACACAAGCAGACCAGCAATGAAAATAAGGTAGGATGTGATTTGATTTGTGTGAAGCCAAATCCAAACTGGCCTCCATTGGGGTGCGTTTTGCTGCACCAGGACAACCCACATTTGAGCTCAGCTCAACGCTGATTGGCTAATTATTTTATAATTGTTTTATCAAGGGAGGCCAAATGCTTGCTGGCATCAATCAATCAAATGTTACTGCTGCAACATGTCATACTCTTTTGGTCCAGACAGCATCAGATACATGGGCTACACATACTGAGACAGAGGGGCACGTGTCATTTGCGAATTGACGGAATATTATGAAAACACAGAGAGAGATTTTTTTATTAGTCAAATATTTGGGGAAGCCTGGCTTCCCTTGGCATCCATGAATACATGTCACTGCTCACAAGATATCATTCTAAAACAATTTATAAGTGTTTTGTGTGAATGGGCATGGGCATGATCATACAATATTAAACGTTTCATTTAGGTAATGTATAGGATCTAATGTAATATTTGAAGTACGCATTTTGCCAAGTTTAGATTTATCCAAAGTTGAATCTTATCCAGTACAAATTGAAAATACCTGCAACACTATAAATGCAAAGCCATGGTCAGAGTTCAGCAGAACAACAATAATCAGGGTTGGGGAGTAACTGCATGTAATCTGATTACAAAACAACTAACTGTAATCAGTTACAATACCAGCATAAATAGTGTAATCAGATTACAGATACTTAAAAAGAACTAGATGATTACTTTTAAATTCAGAAAGGGATGTTTGAGAAAATTATATACAGTGGGGAAAAAAAGTATTTAGTCAGCCACCAATGGTGCAAGTTCTCCCACTTAAAAAGATGAGAGAGGCCTGTCATTTTCATCATAGGTACACGTCAACTATGACAGACAAATTGAGATTTTTTTTCTCCAGAAAATCACATTGTA